CCTTTTTTCATTCTTAACCCCCCCCCCCTTTTTTTTTTTTAACGAGATCCCTACAGGCCTGTCTCTTGGTCTGGTTCCAAGACAGTTGCTAAGTAAATCACTCAGTCAGCAGGACTAGTAAGAAAGAATTCCCCACGACCCTAAGCCTTTCATGTCTGCTCTTCGTTCTCTCTCTCCTGCTTCTGATTCCTCACCTCTCTCCCTGTCTGTGCAGCTTACCTTCTCATGCATTTTACTTTAAGTAGAAAGGGAGCCGTAAAGATTGCAAAGATGTATCTGGCTTTTTTTAAGTGAAGGACAGGAGAAACACTGTGTGAGACGGTCCCACATATATACATGAGATGGGAAGTGGGGGTCTGTCGGCCATGTGTTGGCTGCATGCTTTGGAGCGGCTCTAAGAAATGCTATCCGATCCACATTTTCCAAAAAGGCTCTGCTTGGGGCGGGGGGGTATCCAAGAGAATCCAATCCAGAAAGACTTGTGTCCTGTTATACTTGTTCTGCCTGCTTTTGACCACTGCTGATTTTTGCCCAGACTGTATCCTCAAAAATAATTAACAGTGAAGCCAATTATTGCCCACTCATGCATGGAGTAATTGGTGTGTAACAGGAAACATGTATAAGGAGTGGACTTCTAAATATTAATAGTAAAAGCATAGTCTCGACGCAACTATAGCATCTTGGTTCTGTCAGATATACCCCCTACCCCTTCCCTCATTTGGGGTATAGCTTCCTCATGTGGGATCAATTAAAGATCTCTTGGGTCGTCCCTTGATGATTCACAACAAGGGATGAAATCAACATTAAAAAAATAATCTACTTTTCCTCAGGTGGTGATGGCCCCACATGAACCACCGGTGGTGTTTGTTGATAACTACATCAAACTCCTGGCTGATGGCAATCCCGAGACCTTCCAGAAGATTCTTGATATGAAGGTCAGTTGGTTCAACCAGTAATTTAAAGGAATGTTCTTTGTTCTCATTGAGGCAGCTCGTTTCTCATTTTGCCTCTGTGATGTTTTCATGTTTTCTCATAATTTTGCAGATGTTACATTTTCCTTTTGTTTTGCTGCTAAAAGAGATTTTTTTTAACTTTGATTTCCCGTGCTCATGTGTACTTGTGTAGGGCCTGAAGCGCAGTGAACAGAGCAGCATGCTGGAACTCTTTAGGCAGAGGCTACCCACCCCACCCTCCGGGGCTGATGGTGGTCCCTCTCTGTCGTTCAGTACCCCCACCCCTGAGCAGGAGTCCTCCCGCATCCGCAAACTAGAGAAACTCATCAAAAAGAGGCTGTGAACACACCTGCTCTGAAATCACATCGTGAAAATGAAAAAGGCTACAGGAAGAGAACATCCCCACCTCACGTGCAGTTATTCATCTCAGAGATGTCATTGTGCTCCATTTAGTTCTGGAGATTCACAGAAAGAGCAAAAAGTTGACTGGCAGTAATTATGAAGAAACTTCCTCAACTGCTTCTTGCTCTGTGTCACTTCTGTAATTTCCCTCATCTCCTTTCATGACACTAATGTCTGAACTTTGTAACATGAGTACATTGTTGCACAGTGTATTTGCACTCAGAAGACGGATTGTAATACTGTTAACTAAATTCTGCTCTTGGATCCTCTGGCTGCCTCTCTGGGACATGTCTGATCCAGAATGATTACAGACAACCAGATCTTAATTAAAGCTGATGTTTTCTGAATGTGAAGGATAACCGGGGCTTTCCTCAGCTATTTTTAATATAAAGTGGGTGATACCAGGTTGACGTTTATGTGCATCGCTGCTATCCATTAAAGTGGATATGCATCAATACAGTAGGTGTTGGGATTGTTAGGGTGAGCCAAAATGAAAAGTTGACAAGTGTTCCCAAATCTGGGACAAAAAGATCCCTGGATTTCAAGCATCTTCAGTCAGACGTGAGTCCGTCTTTGTATTGGCATTTAAAATCCCTCTTGGTAAACTTGTAAATTAGGACCAGCTGACTGAAATCCTTTAACTTGGCCTTTGTGGAGAAGAGGGGGGATAACAGGGTATTTACTGTATATGTACACTCGCTCTATTCCAATATTCTATAATACCTTGCGCCCAGACAGGTTCGGGTGTAGAGAGTATAGCTGGTATTTATGATGAAAAAGGCAACACTACATCTTGTCGGGCGTAAAATTAAATATAGGGGAAATTCCTGTATTGCTCCAGGCTGTACAAGTGAATCTGGGAAAGATAATGCTCCGAATATTAAAAGGTCGTATTACACTTTCCTGCTAAATGATCCAAAACGCCTCAAACTTTTGGATGAAGGCAGCCCCCCGAGCAGCCTGGCATCCCCCCAAACGATCTAGCACAATTTGTTCCAACTGTTTTAAATGAGATAACGTATGTTTCTGATAAGAATGCATATGTACAGAAATAATGCTACATTTCAAATGTTGAGATAAGTTATGATCTGTTAAATATATACAAATTGGTCGAGTGTACAGCACGGAAATCTGGGCTCTATGTTTAAAATAACAGTGATGCCTTTGTTCTGTTACAGTCCTATTAATGCAGTGGAAAACATTTAATTTCAACAGAAAACAAACGTAGGTCAGTTGTGCTTTTCTGCAGACTAATATTTATGAGCAAGGAAGTTACACAGGTAAGCTAACTAGAGTTGTGCTCTTGTTCTCAGGCATCACAGGTATATTTAAAAACTGAATCTCTATGTTATGTACCAAGGTTCCCACTGACCAAAGAGCTCACTTGCATTATGAGTAACCTTTGAATGCCGTAAATACCACTGTCTTGTATCATATCCAAGCCTGACATCCTCACTTGAGCTCCAGCTGGAGCCTGTGAAGTGGGCCCGTTTGGTCCATCTTATATTTTTAACATGCTCATTTGTATTGACGTACAAACAGTTTTGGGACTGAGTGTGTGTCCGTTCATCCAGCTGCACTGTACTTGTAGTGCAATTTGGTAAGTTCTCTTATAGTTTGCAAAGCATCTTTTACCATAAAAATACACTTGGACAGAGCCAGATGGTTTTTGCCTCACTACCTAATCAGCTGCTCCCTCACTTGTCCTCGGTCATGTCAAATACTGTACATCAGTCTCTGCCTGGTTGTGGTGGCTGATTCTGGTACCAGGGCTTCACTGGTTCACAGAGGTCCTTGTACTGTAGGTCAAAAACATGTAACTGCATTAGTGACTGCCTTCAGGTTCATAACGTTGCTTATTTGTATTGTCCTTATAAATCGTCAGTTGTCGAACACTATTAAAATCTTGCCAAAGATTTTCCTTCGTGTTTCATCAGATGGGTGTGCGCTGCTCCAATTTGCACAACACCAGGAAAAGATAACTTGATTTTACCGAGCTCCGGTGTGAAATGAGGGTCTGGAGTGGTGCTTCATCCAATCAGCAGCCAGGAAAGGCTTCAAAAGGCGTTTCCTTTGCGGTGTTCGTGGATCTGTGGGTCCCAGCGTGTGCGCGTAAAGAAGAGCAGAAGCGACTGGCAGGTTCTCCGCCCAGTCCAGAGTAAAATCAAGTTTCTCTCATCGTTTTACACGTCCACGATGGGGTTGGGTTATGCTTTTGCTCGGTTTTATTATCAGTTTTCATTTTTAATATTCATCCCTTTGTAGAACTTTGATGGTCTGGGCTGGTGGCGCTCGGGAGCTGATTTATCCCCCACCTCTATGATATTTCCAGCGGGCAGCGGTGCGAGCCGTACGGGGAGAGGTTACAGTAACACCGTGGGACTTTGCAACAAAACAAAACCCCTGGACGACCAAAGAACAGGAGGAGCTGCAAACCGGACGTGTTCTCTGTCGTAACGCGCGTCTTACTCGCTGGAGTGCTGCAACTTTTAGCTAGAAATGGTTGGCAGGTTGAACTTGCCACATGTATGTGAAGGAGACCTACTGGATATGAGCTGCAGGGCTGATAGAGGACTTGACAGCCCAGACTCTGGGTTGCCCCCGAGCCCGAACCCCGGCGCCTGGCTGCTGCCTGTGTGTGATAAACCCGGTGGCGTGAGTCCGGTGTCTGAGGACGAAGCAAAGGATCCCCTGGTGGGTATCACTACTTCTCATGTTATGTTATGGCTTAAATTCCCTTTGGAGCAAGGCAAACGACCACACATTACAGCTAAATATTTATTTTAACTACCGAAACATTTCATAACTTGAAATTTGATATGGAAGACTTTATATGGACAAGTCTAATAGTTCTAGTTTTTCCTGCAAATCCCACGTTGCATTGCATCCACATAGACGTTGCTATCTGAAATAGTTGGTGCCATGAACTTTCTATAAGGCCGTTTTTACCCAGTGTTTGTTAAAGTTCTTGTATGAACTTACTGCATGTTCTGTCCAACTGGGTCACGTGAGCACCGAACTGGGCCAATGAGAACTTGCAGTATTGTGTTAACTGGCGCTGATATTTACATTGCAGGTTCCACTGTTACCCGCCAGGTCTTTCCCTCACCTACAGCCGGTGTCCTTTGGTGAAGGCATAGCACTTGATCCGCTCCCACCAAAGGAAGTGAGGTGGGTTGGATTTGATGCGACTTATTCCGTGCAGCATTGGCTGGGTGAGGGTATGCATATGGGGGTAAAATACTCTCATAACTAGCCACAAATGTGTATTCAGCTATTTTCAAATGCAGTCAAGGTTACAGATGTGCAAACACCGATTTGTGTGTGTGTGTGTGTGTGTGTGTGTCACGAAAAAAGCCTGAAAAGCCAAACGTCCGCGTTTTCCACCTGCCATTAAATGCACCATACGTTTGTGGCTCTCAGAGCAAAGACAATCCTTTCCAAACCTTGCACGCGAGCGTAACGCGTTTCATGTGTGTCTGTGCACGCGCGTCTAACGATCTGTACATAATTTTTAAAGAACTGCACACAGAAAAACATTTTATGCATTTGTTAATCTGGTGTTTGTTTGTTGATCGACAAAGACGCATTTGTGGCCTCCATGAGACACACAAATCGGTTTTTACACATTTGTAACCTTGACTGTGTTTGTAAATCGCTCCATATACATTTATGACTATTTATGAGAGGATTTTACAGCCATTTATGCATGTTTGTCAAAATGGCATGCCATAGAGGTAGTATTTTTACTTTAATATGTACCAAGATGGCCCACAACTGTCAAGTGTGTACATAAGCAAACAAGAAAGCAGGGGGCAGATGCAAGTTAGTTAAATTTCATTGTTTTGCATCAAATAACCCATTTACACTTGTCATCCTGCACAGATACATCTCATCCGTGCACTATGATTCGGACCGCCACTTCATCCAGAACGTGTCCCTGCAGCCATGGGGCCAAGGCCTTGAACACTGCAGGCAGACCATCATGGCCATGCCCCACAGCACCTGGCGCCACTACAAGATACAGCTAGACTTCCAGCCTCGCCATCGGCCCCAGCACTTCAAGAGCACCACCATCATCTACCCCAAGAAAACCAGTACCGTCTACACTACAGAACTGAACTACGACTGCCACCGACTGTCCAGACGTTTCTTCTCCACTGTGGAGCTGGAGGCGGCTGGGCACAGAAAGCTACCTCACTGAGGGTGGGGGGAGATGGTTGGCTGGGGACACACAAGGGGCAGCCATTCCCATAGTCCCTATTATGCCACCCTCTGGCTGCCACTGACCTGCTGTGTTGTTTTTTTACACTAGTGTACCTGTGACGTTACAATGAGCAGAAATAGCAAGACATGAACTGAATGGATGAAATATCTTTGTTTTGATATCTTCATATTGTTGCCAATGAATACCCTGGCAATTGTATGAGATTTTAAGGATGGACACCATAAGGTTCCAGAGACCTAACCTAATATAATGTACTTTATTGGCTATAGAGTTTGACTCGTATTGACTGAGATTATAGTGCTTATTTGCCCTCAGCAACATCGTATCAAGTTGGTGAAGCATTCAGAGTGGTTGGTTTTAAATTTGAACAATGAGGCCTTGGCGCAGTTCACAGAATGTGCATGATGTAATCAAAGAGAAGAGTTCCTTTAAAACCGCTAACCTACCATATGGTTTAAAACGAGTAGTAAAGGACACGAAAGGCAATTAAATGTGGTGCTGGAGTTTGGATGCATATTAAGACATCAGTGACTTATCACTGCACAAAGAAGGTGGTGGTTTGTTTCTGCACAGGGTATTGTGTATTT